TAAAAAAAATTTGCATATTTTCTTGAAAAAAGAGATACTGGCGCGCACAAGACATATTTTTCCCACATTTTTTTCAGGTTTATATAAACAAACTTTTTCCAACGTTTCAGCTTGAAGTTCTTGATGAACAACTAGAGCTAAAAACAGGTCAGTGCTGTGGATGATAGACGCGCGTCTGATGCAATCCAGTAGCTCGAAATGGCGAATGTAACAAATCATCCACTGCCAGTGAATTCCTGGACGAGAAAACGAACGAACTGAAATATCTTTCTCAGCCGTTGCAACCGATCCGCCCTCTGTTCACGGAACAATCGAATTTGCCCAAAAATTGATTTGATCCGAACTGATCCAAAGCGCTGCATGGATTCTTCAACCACTTGAATGATTTTTCATTTCGTTTCATGATGTATTTTGTCACTTTCCATTTCACTGCTACTTGTTCGGTGTTGAATCTCACTTTTTTTTCATTCAAAATTCTGCTATGATTTTTCGAGGCGGATTTACAATGCTTCCTGTGGTTTTTGAACCGGGTGAGCTGGCAAGCCTGTACTGTTGCTGCTGTTCGACGCATGTTTTTGCTGAAAAACGAATAAATCCCTTTTACCTGAAGAAAAACAATTTTGCTACTTTTTCAGCATTTTTTAGCGACTTCAGTGACTTCGCTGTTATCTGACTTTCAAGCAACTTTCAAGAAGGGAATTAATTATCACAGTCGCCCGAAACGCAGTAGCAGGCTCGTCCGAAATTTCGATTCTGCAAATTAGATACTTCAGTAATTACAAAATCGCTGCAAGAGTGATATTCATATGAAAGCATGTTTTTATGAGCTCAGATTTTCGGCTGAACTCCGGAAGAGTGGGAGATATAAGGTTAAAAGTGTTAGCTGACCAGGTGAGTGGACAGTCAGATTAGTGCAGAGGTAGATTTGGTATTTGATTAGCAAGATCATCAGACAAGCACTTTGCGTATCAAGATTTTAGTCCTGCCATATATCTTGGCACTAAGGTGTTAACATCTAGAATTAGTCTAGGAATATGCTAGATGCGGCTTGCAGATTAGTTGTAATATCTCGATACTTTTAATTCACTGGCCATTTACAGAAAAAAATAATGTGCGAATTTTGCATCACAGTCAGATTGCTTGTTGTCGCAAAATCAGCCCCAGCAATTTAGAATATGGTAGATGCGGCTTGCAAATTAACTGTGAAATCCGGATACTCTTAATTTGCAAGCAATTTGTAGAAAAAAATAATGTGCATATTTTGCATCCGAATCAGATACTTGCTGTCGCAAAATCAGCCTCAGCACAGATACTAACCAAATATTTTATTTGTATTTTGCAAAAATACATGAGAGGTACTGTACATTTTCCGAATTTTGAACATTGTATGCTGGTACTGCGAAAATATTTGCTTGTGCATCCGAGTTTATAGTGCAGTTATGTGGAGTGGGGATCCATTAACTTCATTAATAAGCGATTCTCAATATCCTTTGCTCGGGTAATCTTAACATTCTTGGTTAGAATTTTAATAGATTTTAACCGACTGTTATATACAAAAGAATGGGGCATGGAATGCAACAACAGTAAAACAGCCTTGGTTATTTGTCCCGGTCAGGAACCACAGTTATTTCGCCTGATATGAAAACTGAAAGCAACTAGCTGAATGCACTAAGCTCTGGAACGGAAAAGGCGATTTTGCTATGAAATCACCTTTA